GGCCGTTTCACCACGAGACTCCTCGTCGACAACGACCTTTACGTAATAAACCTGGAGGAATATCTTTCAACCGCTCGCGTTCGTCTACTTTCCATCGAAAAAGAGGCTGCGCGGTGTGTACCTGCGGCCTGGCCTCTCTTCAGGCATACTGTTACGACCGCGATCGCGAAAGTGAAAGAATGTCGCCCCCGGATGATCGAAGAGTTTCGTAACGGGCCGTAATTACGGGGACCGTTTTATGGCTGAAATTTCGGCTCGCTTTCGCATCACCGGTCTTCACTTTCGATATTTTCCTCGTTCCTGCTTGTTATACGCACGCAACGCCTTTTATTGTGCAACTTCACGTCTGTTACAGATTCGCGATTGCGCCGAAGCATTCTCGCTCTGGTTTGCGGCAATCTCTCGCTGGATTTTGTTAATTGACATTGCTCGATTATTGGGCGTGAGTGAAAATTAGCGGAGGAAATAGAGCGGTAATTTGTAGTTTCTTTTTTAACGGTGGTCGTTGATTAATTCTTTTTTCGTGGGTAGCAATTGTCGTGTGTTTCGTGTAATTATTCGGAATTGAGAGGATAATAGAATGTTAATGGATATTATTATTTGTTTGATTTATATTGCAATTTTTTCTGAGATCATTTTCGCCAATGAAAGATGAAACGACATTTTGTTACCTTTCCTTTAGAAATCCGTCTTTTTTTCAGGGAATATAAGTTTCACAGGTACAGATATCTTTAGGACTTCAATGTTTAACAACGGTGGGTGAAAATTAACGGAGGAAATAGAGTCGATTGGGACATGAATTACATCAAGTAATTTGCAATAACTTTTTTAACGGTGATCGTTGACTAATTTTTTTCGTGGAAATTGACCAATCGTCGTGTGTTTCGCGTAATCATTGGGAATTAAGAAGAAAACACAATGTTAATGTATAGTTTTGTATTAATAAATTTATGTTACAATTTCTTCTGAGATGATTTTGGCCAATAAAAGATGAAACGAAAAGATTTCCAATTTTTGTCCCTTTCTTTTTCGAAATCGTCGTTTTTCTCAACGAGTATAAGTTTCACAAGTACAGGTTTCTAGGACTTCAATGTTCATCAACGGTGAGTGAAAATTAACGGAGAAAATAGAGTCGGTCGAATTACATCCAAAATTTTTTCCTGGAAATTGACCAATTATCGTGTGTAGGTAATTCAGAATTAAGAAGAAAATACAATGTAAATTTGATTTATCTTTCAATTCTTTCTGCGACCATTTTGCCCAATAGAAGACGAAACGAACGTTTTCCAACAATCTCTGTCCCTTTTCTTTTAGAAATCGTCGTTTTTTCCAGGGAGTACAGGTTTCACCAAGTACAGATCTCCGCTTCCTGAACAATGTTAAACAGCAGATTGCAACAATTTCGTTCGAAGAACTTATCTCGAAGCCTTACGTCGCCGATTCGTATCGCCAGTTCGTTACAAACCTAACATTTTATGTAACTGATATAAATGTAGGTTTCTGTAAACGTCCTCGAACGGTGGACATTTAACGAGCACACTATTTCAACTTGCTATCCGCTTCCATCTATCTCTTCATTACACACGTGAGCCCGAGCTATACCATCAGATAACAATAAACCAGAGAGCCAAAACGATGATCCTAATCTCCCCGGTTCCTAGCAAACAAACCATCGATTTTCCATTGAATCAGGAGAAACGGGCCACCTATATACAACGTTGCATCCACTAAATTTACCAAAGTTCACTCTGGATTCTTCCTTGAAACTTGAAATTGAACGAAGACGAACTGGCAGATTTGATCGATCGACCTTTAAGATCATCCCACAACCAACAATCTCTCTCTCTCTTTCTCTATCCAAGTAAAAGAAAATCACTCTGATTGGAATTCAAGGAGACACGTCCATCTAGGCGAATCTCGAGGATCTGCGTGGTCGAATCTCTCCGTTCCACGATCGGAAATCTTCAACCGCGGATTCTTCTTCTTCGTTAAAACCGTTAGATAACAGTTTCACAGCGGCGGCCGTCAGGCAGATTACACTTTCGAATTATTGCGTAGAAATCGATTTGAGACTGTTTTCGAAAGGTGATCGAGAAACATAAACCTCGCCGTTGCCTCACACATCGTTTTACAAGTTTAAGAAAAAAAGAAGGATGAAAACGAAGCATCTCTATATTGGTCGTAAACGATTTATCATCGAGTATACTGGTCTAACTTGTGCATATTATACCCATTTATAAATAAATATCCCATCCACACTTTAGAAACGCGATCATCAATTTCCTTGATCGAATCCTAACGCACCACCTGTTACATAACGATCTAACGAGCGCGATCTCGTTCCATCGAGAGACCACCATAAACATCGATCGTATGTTATACGATTCCAATAAACGTAGGCTGGACAGTGTTTGTAGAAGAAAACGGAACCAGGGCTAGGAAAAGGAGAGGGAAATCGTGACGTAGGACCGCGTGTCTCATGAAAGGGAGCAACGGTTGCACCCACGAGATCGCAGCCAGATAAATCCTGACGAGGTGAGCACACGCTCACGCTGGCCTGCCACACGTAACGGGGCGTCGAGGTTGACCGAGAGAAGGAAGGACGAAAACGGAACGGAGAAAGGGAAGAGGATCGACGAGGGCTTGGGAGCGAGTGGTTGTTGCTGCACCGGCTGCGAGAGATCCTTGTGGATCGCTGACAGCCGTGTCCAGGCGGCGAAAATGAGGGAAAAAGAAAAGAGAAGAAAAGTGATATGAAATAATCGAAGGGGGCGACAGAGTTGTTGCGAAAAATTTCTTAAGGCATATCGAGTTTTAGCCGGTTTCGAAACGACGTCTGTCGATGATCGACACGAGAGATCCAGTTTGGTTTACGAGGATCGATGATGTGGTTTTAAGAGGGTTCGGATTTTTTGGGTTACCTGGTGGGGAGGTGAGAAAATAAATTTGCATTGTTGGAATTTTTATTAGTATGCAGTTTCAGTGGAATATCGTTCTTTCTTTACGAAGGAAGGAAATTTTGGGATGTTGGATCGAGTTGTTGTGGTTTCTGAGGGATTTTTAGGTCAGGTGGTGGGGAGTTGAGGAAATAAAACTTGCAGGATTGTTGGAATTTTTATTAAGTATGCAGTTTCAGTGGAATATTCTTTTTTTTCTGCTTCTTTTTAATGATCAAAGGAAATTTTGGGATGTTGGATCGAGTTGTTGTGGTTTCTGAGGGATTTTTAGGTCAGATGGTGGGGAGTTGAGGAAATAAACTTGCAGGATTGTTGGAATTTTTATTAAGTATGCAGTTTCAGTGGAATATTCTTTTTTTTTCTGCTTCTTTTTAATGATCAAAGGAAATTTTGGGATGTTGGATCGAGTTGTTGTGGTTTCTGAGGGATTTTTAAGTCAGGTGGTGGGGAGTTGAGGAAATAAACTTGCAGGATTGTTCGAATTTTTATTAAGTATGCAGTTTCAGTGGAATATTCTTTTTTTTTCTGCTTCTTTTTAATGAACAAAGGAAATTTTGGGATGTAGGATGGAGTTGTTGTGGTTTCTGAGGGATTTTTAGGTCAGGTGGTGGGGAGTTGAGGAAATAAACTTGCAGGATTGTTGGAATTTTTATTAAGTATGCAGTTTCAGTGGAATATCCTTTTTTTTTCATCAACGAAGGATATTTTAGGATGTTGGATGGATTTGTTGTGGTTTGTGTGGGATTTTTAGGTTATGAGGTGGAGACTTGAGGAAAAAAGCTTGCAGAATTGTTGGAATTATAATTAAATATGCAATTTCAATGCGATCTTCTTTTTTCTTTTCGAACGAAAGAAATTTTATGAAGTTAAACAGATTGGCTTAAGTTTGTGAGGGTTGAAAATGAGGAATTTTTAGGTTATGAACTGGAAATTTGAAACAGCGAACTTAGAGAATTGTTAGAATTTTAATTAAACATGTAATTTCAATAAAATATTGTTTTTTTTTATGCGAATTAATAAAATTTCACGACGTTAGATGCATTTTCTGTGGTTTCTAAGGATTAGAAATGAGGATTTTGAGGTTATGGTATGAACACCTGGAGAAACTTGGAGAATTCTTCTTTCATTTAGAATTTTAATTGAATCTCCAATTCAGACAAAATACTGCCTGCTGTATAAACTTAACAAGTTTAAGGGTGTTGTATAAATTGACAGAAATTAGGGATGAGAAATTTTTAAACCCTAAGGAAATTTTGTATTATAAAAGAAACTCATATTCCTCAATTAATAAAACTACCGTCAAATACCTAACTTTCCCTTTAAACATAAATAATATTCCAACAGTTACGAACGGCAGCCTAAAATTCCACGTATTACATATCCTACAATTAGCAGAATTACTCTGAGAACTTACGAGAGAGATACCTATTACAAGGCGCGTCGACATATCGGAATGCGAATTACGCGTAGTCGGAAGTTGAGAGGACGTTGCAGAGAAAGGACTGGTCGCTGGTGCAACATGTACACCAGATTTTTGTTTATGCGATATTTGGCACGTTACGTCACATATACTAGATCTTTTTATATCGAAAATTTCCACCGATCTTTTTCCTGTATAACGTCGAAAAATATCGATGAAATTATTTCGGTGGCGATGGAAAGGTACGGTGTTTGAACGAAACACCGCATGAAAATGAGTAAAAAGTAGCTCCTTCTTTTACGACCACTTTGGTCGGAAACAAACATGTTATGATGAAAAACTTGAAAATGAAGTTTCTACAAATGAAATATTACGCAAGAAAAATAACCAAGTACAGATCTACAAACAATTCAATTAGTACTTCCTAATACTTTTTTAATATTCTCTTGGCGAAAAATCTTAGAAGATACTTTAACCAACGAACGATCCTAATTACCCAAACCGGTCAATTTTAATTAGTTCCTAATACTTTTTATTAGGTCATCCCGTAAGTTCGTGCCGAATTTTATAATTTTCAACGAACCTCTAAATTTCATAAAAAAAATGTAAGAGCCTTCTCATTATCTGTTTTTCTTTTCTCTTTGTAAGACTTATGTCGTCGCTGCAGTATTTCCTTGGATTTTCATTTAAACATTTTTCGCTTGCGGCAAGAACTTTAACCTGATACTATTCTAATTTCCTCTTCACAAAAAACCTGCAAAGCCACTTTAACAGACGAATCATCGTAATTACTCAAACTACGCAAAATTTCAATTAGTACTTCCTAGTACTCTTCTAATTTCCCCTTCACAATAAAACCTCAGAAGCTTCTTTGACAAACGAATAATCCTAACTACTCAAAATTTCAATTAGTACTTCCTAGTACTTTTCTAATTTCCTCTTCACAATAAAACCTCAAAAGCTACTTTAACAAACAAACAATCCTAATTACCCAAACCACTCAAAATTTCGATTAGTACTTCCAAGTACTTTTCCAATTTCCTCTTCACAATAAAACCTCAAAAGCTACTTTGCGGGACGAATGATCCTAACTACTGAAAATACTCCAAATTTCGATTAGTACTTTTTAGTACTTTTCCAATTTCCTCTTCACAATAAAACCTCAAAAGCTACTTTGTGGGACGAATGATCCTAACTACTGAAAATACTCCAAATTTCATTAGTACTTTTTAGTACTTTTCCAATTTCCTCTTCACGAAAATTCTCAAAAGTTACTTTAACAAACGAACAATCCTACCTACCCAAACCACTCCAAATTTCAATTAGTACTTTCGTAATTTCCTCTTCACAATAATTACCGAAACGTACGATCAAAGAACCCAATCGTCTAACCTCGTTCACCGAGACAAATCAATCACTCACCAAGCATCCACCAAATATCCATCATCTTCGAAGAAAAAGGTTTTCCGGTGCCAGGTGAGATGTCGAGGGCACGACGAGACCGCTCTCGTCCACTCATCGGTTCATCCGCATAAACACCGAATAGAGGAACGTCACGACGCCAAGGCGAGAACAGTGGGGATCCCTTCGGACGAAGAAGAAAACGAAACTGTGTTGCCCAAGGAGAGGGACGTTTTGGCGAGGCGTGGGGAGGGAGGAGGCGAGTGGTGTGTGTCCCAAAGGGGAGTGGTAGCCGATCGTGGTCGTTCGACGCGAACAAAGAGGTGTAACGTGGGGGGTATAACGCCGCCGTTGGGCCCGGGTGGCGAAGGCGAAAGTATGCCGTGTATATAAGGCGACGAACCGCCGGCAATCAGCATCCAGTTCACTTCTGGACGCACCTGGACATATCTCGCGAGCAAAAATGAGAATCCTGGTACGTTTTCGACGGTAACCGAACGGTGTATCAACGATACATCGGCGAGAAATACTTCGGGTGAACTCTGCTACCTTTTTCCTTAATCGACACAAGTGGACGGACATCGAGATTACTTCAAAGTGAACAATTCAAATCGTTTACAAAGTTTCTATACAAACACACGCACTTCTCAGTGATTCGATTGTTTAAACAATAGCATCTAGTTTCTCTCGAGTTTCCCTTAAAATCCTCGAAAACTAGATCTCGGTCGTAGCCGAGGTGAAATCTTCTCCCTACGATCTAGAAACTGGAAATTGTGCGCTGTCCACGTGCTATCCGTTTTCAACCGGTTTCTCCATTTAAACGCTTTCGTTTTCCACGCTACCCGATATCCAAACTACACACGTCGTACACATACATGTACACACTAGCAACGTGTTTAACTAGTTCTTGTGGTTTTCCAGGTTTACGCGACAGCGATAGTCCTGCTGGCCTGCCTGGTCCGGGCGGAGGAAAGCAAGAAGGCTGAGGACGCTTCCGTGGAGGACAAGACCACGAAGAAGCAAGAGAAACGCGGCCTGTTGGGTCTCGGTTACGGGCACAGCTACGACGGCGGTTACGATATCGGCGGCGGTGTCCACGGAGGCCTCGAATTGAACGGCGGTTACAACGGTTACCACGGCGGATACGGCGTATACGGCGGATACGGCGGATACGGCGGACACCAGCTGCTCGAAGGTGGACACGAGCACGTGAAGACCGTGACAGTTGTCAAGAATGTGCCTGTTCCGTATCCAGTTGAGAAACACGTGCCTTATCCAGTGGAGAAACAAGTACCGTATCCGGTGAAGGTCCCAGTACCACAGCCCTACCCAGTAGAGAAGCCCTATCCGGTCAAGGTTCTCGTCAAGGTCCCCGTACACATACCGCAGCCCTACCCAGTGGAGAAGAAGGTTCCCTATCCGGTTCACGTGCCCGTCGATCGTCCATACCCCGTCAAAGTTTTGGTACCGCAGCCTTATCCGGTGGAGAAACAAGTACCGTATCCGGTGAAGGTACCAGTACCACAGCCCTACCCCGTCGAGAAACCGGTACCAGTGCCGGTAAAAGTACCAGTCCACATACCGTATCCGGTCGAGAAGATCGTCCAAGTGAAGGTCCCTGTCGATCGTCCAATTCACGTGCCCGTGCCAAAACCATACCCAGTGCACATCGAGAAGCACATACCCTATCCAGTGGAGAGACCAGTGCCAGTTCCAGTAAAAGTACCAGTCGACAGACCGTATCCAGTACCGGTGGAGAAGCCAGTCCCTGTTGCCGTGAAGATACCAGTACCGCAACCCTATCCAGTCGAGAAGCCTGTACCTTATCCAGTGGAGAGGCCTGTGCCGTACGAGGTTAAGATCCCGGTAGACAGACCTTATCCAGTACATATAGAGAAACCGGTGCCTTATGCAGTGGAGAAGCCAGTTCCTGTACCGGTCAAAGTGCCGGTACCCGTACCGATACACCATCACGATATCGGTTACAGCAACGACTGGGCGGGAAATCATCATGGTTACCATTAAACTACTCGCCGTAGCGCTTGGTTTGACATAACGAAAGTCTAATTGATAAGGCGACCATCGAAGAAGAAGAAGAAAAAACCGCGACACGGAACACATACATACACACACACACACACGTACCAGGTCTATTTTACTTTTTTGTTTCTTTCTTATTGGGTAAAAACACAATCGCAATCAGGGGAGGAGGAGAAGAGTTATCGAAGAGGAATAGGACGGTGTTTCTCTGTGGCACGCGTCGATTGAACAACGCGTAATTGCAAAAACAGAAGAAAAGAAGCAGACAAAAATAAGAACGAAAGTTTTTCTCCTTCTTGCGAGTACCTGGATCGAAACCGGGGGAGGGAGGAGGACTTCCGGTAACGAAGGAAGAGGCCTCAGCGGGCCCATCCCCCTCCGAGGTCGATCGTTATCGAAGACGCGCGCCACATCGCTGTGAACAAGGATAACACGGAGAAGGAAATTTTTTTGTATAGTTTTCCACACGAAGACCGTCTCTAGCCTTTTGATCTTTTTTTCTTGTGTCTTTTTTTTTTTAGTGATCTTCGCCCGGAAAATCTGCTCGCTTTACCTTCTTCTTTTTTTCTTTCTTTCTTCTACCGTCATAGCAGAATATCATGTATTTTTGTACGAGTTATAAATATTAATTACTGTAAAGAATTAGACGACTGTGTTCTTTGTCAACGACCTGTCCCTTCGTGAATCCAATTTTTCCAACTATCACGATTACGATTAATTTTTGCAGTGATTTCTTATCGTCATCGTGAAGAAGCCCGTGTCCTACGATTGCAATCATTCCAAAGTTTCCTAATTATCAACATTATCATTAACCCGAATTTTCCTAATTACCAAGATTATCGATGTGAACATCATTTTTACAGCGATTTTCTATCGTCGCAGCGAAGAAGCCTGTGTCCCATGATTGTAATCAATGCAATTTTCCCAACAATCACGATTGTAATCAACGAAATTTTTTTCAGGATATGAAAATAATTTTCACATTGAGATTCTTTTATCGTCACCGTCGTGAAGCCTGTGTTCTATATATGTATATACAATCACGATTACAGTCGATGAAAACTTTTTTCAGGATGTGAAAATAATTTTCCTACGGGTATGTCATTTTTCCAAGAATGTTTCGAATAGTTTTTCCTCGAAACCACAGCGTTGGTAGGAAGTTGTGTTACGATCGAGTGCTCGCTTTCCCCGGGAATTCACTTAACGAAGAGGAGAGACATATGATAATCTCGTAAGAATTAGTCGATTTCACTTTCGAATTGGAAATTTTCTTTAAACGATGCCTGCTATTCGTTGATGCGTGCCGGTGTACTTAGAATTCCTCCTCTTCTAACAGCACACACACACGGAGGTAGCAGAGAGAGAGAGAGAGAGAAGCGACCCAGTTTAGTGGGTGCCAACTTGTCCCTGCCAAATCGATGCTCTTGATCGCCCCTCACCGTCCACGTGTCCTCGTAATTTGCACCGGCGTGCAGGCACACACCACCTCGTCGCCTCTTTTCAAACCCGCCCTCCCAACCTTTTCAATGGAAAAAACTGGCGAGAACTCGCCGAAGAACGTTTCTCACCGATCTATACCGGGTGTATTATAGGCTATTTTTCTCTTCTCTCTCTCTGTCTCTGTCTCTCGCTTTCTGCCGGTGGATTTCTAGTTGAGATTCTTCGGTCGAGTTTTTCCTTGCGGGTGGGTGTGTGTTCCACGGTATCGGGAGGGAAAGCGATTATCGAGGAGGAAAGGAAGTTCGACGGTGGAAGAACCACCGGAAGCTTTAGCAACGACTCGCCAAGGCAGCCTTCAATTACCTTCGTTGCGCGTTTATTGAGCAATACCGCCGATGGATTCTTTCGGTGTACGTCATTTCAGCGTACGATTTTCTATTTTAATAGTAACGATAATAACAGGAGGATGTGAAGAGGAACATTGAATCGTTGGAGGAGAGTGCAATTACTGGAGAACGGAAAATTCGGCGACACTTTAATTGACGCAAATTGACGAATGGATAACAGAGAAGGTTAATGCGTGAAACGAAACATTGATTAACGAATTAATACGTTAGCTGTCGAACCAGTTGCAGGTGAATGGATGTTCGAGATAGCTGAAATGATTTCGTTGGGAAAATTAACCCTTTGCTTTGTGACATCGAGCCAAAATTCTGGCACAGGAAGGGTTATAGTAGTAAGAGAAAATAATATTTCAAATAATCAAATAATTTATTATTTAATCTCCAATTAATACTATTAATTCTAAGTTTAGTTTAAAAGTTTTTTTTAGTGTAAAAGACTCACGAGTCAAGAGGTGAACAGTATAAAATTGAACTCTCGACATCTCTTAGAAAGATAAATGCGGAATGATGAATCCTCGTAAAAGTTCAACCAAAATCTTTCTTTTCTTATTCGACAAAAGTCGCAAGTGAGGAGGATAATAATATAAAATTGAACGACGAAGATGGTGTATACCAATAACACAGTAGAGAATTAAAAGTCTACCCTATTGAAAGCGTGTTAAGTGAAGAGAAAAAAAATTGTCCACCGAGTGGAAATAGTGGAAGAATAGAACGAAGTGCACGATGCGGCACGACGTCTACTTATTTAATTAGGCTTGAATCGCGCACGTGGCCCGTAGTTGGTCGGAATCTTCAATTAGAATGATTAGGCAGGAACGTTGTTCTTGGTCTGGGGGCGTTCAAGCGAGTCGAGGGATCGCAGCTCGGACTTATTTAATTCGTCCACGGTTAAGTTCCGCGCTTCGACCCACTTCTCGACCCTGCCCAAGCCGTTTGCCACTTGACTCACGAACGCCAAGCCAGCCTGCCTCTTGTGCTCGTCCAGCCGATTCTTACGCAACCGGATCGCACGCGACTTGGAGCGAGGCTGAAAGTGAGAGAGACCTCCCTTCGAACCGGAGGATCCGTCATGGGAGAGAGGCTCGCGCCTTTGTGCCTGTCTGCACAGGACTGTCCCTTTCCCCTTACGCCAATCTCCCGCGGCTGTTGGAATCTTTCTGGCTTTGGCTCGATCGTGGTTATTTTTTAGAATTTCAAGTTTCTCAGGGTAATTAGGGTTTCGAGGATTCTGGTTGGTAGTTCATTTTCTGCGATTTTTGGGCCAAGTTTTGTGTGTTAGGGGCTTGCGAGTCTCTGGTGCAATGAAATTTGGCGAAATTTGGGAATTTGGATAGGTTTGTGTCACTTCAGTTCATTTTCTGCGATTTTTGGGCCAAGTTTTGTGTGTTAGGGGCTTGCGAGTCTCTGGTGCATTGAAATTTGGCGAAATTTGGGAATTTGGATAGGTTTGTGTCACTTCTTGAAAAAATTTTGTTTGACAATCAATTTTCTGGGATTTTTGGACTAAACTTTGGGACCACTTATGAAAATTTGTGTCTTAGAATTTTTTAAGTCCCTGGTGCAATGAAATTTGGCGAAATTTAGGAATTTAGCTAAGTTCGTGTCACTTTTTGAAAAAATTCTGTTTGACAATCAATTTTCTGGGATTTTTGGACTAAACTTTGGGACCACTTATGAAAATTTGTGACTTAGAATTTCTTAAGTCCCTGGTGCAATGAAATTTGGCGAAATTTGGAAATTTAGTAATTAAATTATGAAATTTGGCTAGGTTCGTACCATTTTTCGAAAAATTCTGCTTAATAATTAATCTCCTATGAGTTAAGATGCACACTGGGTTGCCAAAAGTTTGAGACCACATGTCAATTTATGCCAAAATGCGGCAATTATATTACAGAATTAACGATCGGTAGTAATTCACTTCGATTTGAGTACTAAAAAATCGAACAAAGGTTTCCCAAGTTTTTCTAACTTTTTCCTGAAAATTCTTATACTTTTTAGTAATGCACACTGGCTTCAAACTTCTGTATAACAGTGCATATCAAAGCTTTTGGAACTCGGAGTTTCTGAGGATTCTTTACTTTTTCATCAGTTTCAGTTCTACGTTCCTCGAGTTAAATTCGAATTACCGCGGCGTTCTCCGTGTCTATGCGCCACTTTCACGAACACTCTAGCTGAACAAGCGTCGATAAAAAGGCTGCCCTATATTTGCAGCAACTGGTACATTCACCGTAACACTCTGAAAACCAAATTCTCCAAAAGAAGCAAACAATCCAAACGAATTTATTTCTCGAATCGAAACTCCGTTACACAATATCCTCGAAATAATTAGATAACTCTGTTATCGCGTAATAAAATTGCCGCAATATAATCCACTGTGGGAAATAATATCGACAGCGGTTACAGCAGTTTATCTAAAGTGAACGAGGCTGAATAATTCGATAAATCACATAATGACGCGAACCCAATTCGAGATAAATGACGCCATGGCCTGGAATTCAAATTCGAGTGTTTCTAATGGGATTTTAACCGAGAGAAAAACGCTCTTAATTAATCTTCACCGATGCACGCTGTGCAAACTACTCTTTTCTTCTTCTTCTTCTTTTAATAGTTGATCAACATGCACATGTTGAAAGCGAAGATAAGAGATTATGCTAACGAGGTTGTGCATATAATTAAGAGGGAGTTTTTTTTTTCAAATCGAGAGATCGTTGTTTCGCTATTGAGACACGATTTGAGAAACGCATCGCGTGCCTCTTGGACAATTGCTCAAGCGATAATCCATGAAACGAGCATAATTAACGCGATACCTTGAGCTTTCAGTGTTTATTAATCGTCAGAGAGACTTGTTGGTTAACAGCCTCCGGTGATCGCAACATTTTTACTGTTGCCTTTTACGAAGCTTGTCAAATGAACCGTGGAGATTGGTGTAAAATTGACGGAGGAACGAAAATTACTTCCTTTGAACCTACTGGCCTCAATAGAGCAGCTGATATTATCTTATCAAGGGTAAGGAGAAAGTGATTTGCATATTAAGTTAGTAGCTCGGTTGATTAGCCTTTGCATTGTAATCTAAAGGGCGTGAGTTCGAATCCTGGCTTCCCATGGATTTGCGAGGAAATTTCTCGATAAGTCGTTCTTTCCTCTGATCGTTTAAATATTACAGACGGTCTTCCAAATTAAAAAATGTAAGAAAATATATTTCTGTAGTGAAAAGGTATAAATTTCTTAAAAAGTTTGAAAATCAAATTAAATTTGAAGAGCTTGGAATATTTAAATTTAAAAATCGATTTCTGTCATAAAAAAATAATACAAATTCTCTAAAAAGTTTGAAAATCAAATTAAATTCGAAGAGCTTGGAATATTTAAATTTGAAAATCGATTTCCGGAATAAAATTCGCAACAAGTTGAAAAATTAAGTTAAATTCGAAGAATTCACGAATGAAATTTACAAAAATTATAGAAACAAATTTTCCTTCTCAAAACGCACTCTAAAGTAACGCTCGGACAATTTTCACCAGTACAAAAATAGCGAATAAAACTTCTCCAGAAAAATAGTCTTCTTCTTAACGCGTCTGTTGCAGGTTCGTGCAAAAAGATTAGCATGCTTAATAACATTCAAACTCTCAAACAAGATGTCTGGCTATTGGAGGATAAAAAATGGCGCACCAAAGAGGCAAATGGGATT